GCTAGGAGAATTAAGTTTTTGATATAGAGAACCCATATCTTAACAAAACAAATACTCCTAACTAACCTAAATCATCCTTATGGAAAGCAGTTTCTGTTGGCTTGCTGCTCTGATTAAACTGCATGTCAGTATCAAGAGGAATCAAGTATTAATGTACCATAGCATATCATACCAATATAGATTTTTGGATATTCACAGATTTATTGTGTTTTTGTTTTTTTTTTGTAAAATAAAGTAAATACAGCATCCTAAAAAAATAGCAATTTTGCTTTTAACATCATTGCATCTATTATCATTCTTCATAAGCTTATCACCTAGTTATTTTATTTCTTAATGATGTCAGGTTGTCAGTGAGAGGATTTGTTTTTTTCACAAATTTAAAGGGTGAACTATAGCCAAAACAAATCCTGTCATTATTTATGGACCCTCATGTCTTCTCAAACCAGTATGACTTGTACTTTGATGCACTTATTTTGTACTTGCACCGAGAATTGCGGTATGGTAGAGTCAACCAATCAAAAGCATGACGTAAAACACAGCACCTTCTCATTCTGGTTTCAAATGTTAGTTGTTTAGTTCCAAAGATTGTGCCCATGTGGCTGATTAACAGAAGTGCTCCGTTTTCCTCGTGTCAGTTCCAGAATCTGCTGTGAAGAAATATGTAACCAAAATGTTATGCTGTATAATTCTGTGTGTGGGTCAAAGATGAGATGTCCCATTTTGGTTTCCACATCAAATTAAATTTACAGAAGTGATTTTATAGACCCAGAAGGCATATTATATCCAAGTAAAGTGTCTACTTGATTGTTTCAAATTACTTAAGTAAAAATAAAATGACAAAACATGGGTGAAATAATGTTCCATCATCATTCAGCATATATAGATATATATACAACATACCTATTCTGATCTGTACATATTAAAATATATAAAAGAATAAGTGTTCATACTAAATTTATTTTAAATGATTAAAAACGTCTTGCTGACAAATGGGTAAAACCTAGTGGTTTGAAGGATATTGGTAAAGATTTAAAATGACAATAAATTAGTTTTGTGTGCTGCACTGTGATCCTTAAATAAAGTCTTTTAATGCCATCTATGGATTCTTGTTCTAAATATTCCTGACAAGACGTATTTGGTATAAAAACTATTGTTACACTGAATGACATTTTTTTTCTGTAAATCATGGTAAATATGTATGATTGTCATTATTTTTTACTCAGAAAAAAACGAATTAAACAGGACACCTTATGATTTATGGGGCAAACTCATTTAAAGCTGTATTAAACTTTTATTGTTTTGATGCTTGAAAACCCCTTTTTGCCATATATGATAGTATATAAATGTCATATTTTCATGGCAATGGCTCACAAAGTCACTACGATCAGTTGATCTTGAGAGAAACTCTTTTATCTATAAATTACAACTTTAATTTCTAAATGAAAAGTATTCAAGACATGAAAATCTTTGGATTTTCTTAAGAAATGTAGTGGTTAAAGAGTCTACACCATCAAAAACGAGCAGTGAGTCATTCTGTCCTAATAGTACGAGGAGGTTTGTTTGTCTCAGTGAGAAGAATATTCCAGAAATCCATCCAATGTTAGAGACAGCAGTCAGGGGGAAGACTGAGTGCCTGTTACTGTGTGCCATACTGAACCAAATCTAATGTACCTAAAAATTTCTGGCCACAATTCCAGATTGTTCTCCAATAAGGGGTTCTTCCGAAGTCTGTCTCCTTTGCCTCGTTTTGCCAAAAGATCACAGGAAGTGGCCTCCTTCATTGCCGAAATCTTTAGAGCCATTTTAAATTGCCAAGAGCTCATTTCATAGAGCTCTATTCATGGACTTATGCTGATCATTGTGGTGGTAGTGGTGGTGGCATATTGAGGCTTTATAAATACATGTCTTTGTGCAGTTTATTTGAATAATGTGAAACCTGAGCTGCTGCATGCACTGAGATAACCTAATCTCACTTCATATCATCTGTTTAACCTGCTCCAATTCTGTTTAATCATACATGGTATACTCATATATGATATAGTGGAGAAATTCATTCTGGCCTACACTCACATTAGAGTTTGACCCTCAAACGTGTTTCGCCAATCTCCTTTACTTCCCACCAGGGGGCACTGTGATTCAAACAATCATCTTATATCATATATCCTAGTTTGAAGGGTCAGATTATAAACACAGTTGTGTTGTGTATTGTAGTAAGACAGACATTGATCCATGGAATAAATATGGTCTGCTTTGTTTGTCCACTGAATCTTCAGTTATGTTTCATGTTCTCTGAATAGTATAGATGGCTTTATTCTCTTTGGATTGGATTGATGCAACACCAGGAGTCAGACACCACAGGGACACAGAGCTCTCGGCATCAGCACTGCTGTAAAGTTTCTGTATTATTGTCTTGAAGAGAAGACAGTTCTGAACAATCAGGAGGAGATGGGATTTCAAACTGCGGAAGTGACACTATAGGATTGAAAATCCAGATTCTAAGGGCGTTCACACCTATAGTTTGGTTTTCTTAGTTCTTTTGGTTGGGACCGAAAAAGAAAATAATACATTGTGTTGTTTTGCTTAGCGCTCCTTGTATGTGTGTATATCAGTGGCGAGCAGTGACTTTTCTTTAAAGGGGTCATATGATGCGATTTAAATTGTTCCTTTCTCTTTGGAGTGTTTCAAGCTCTTGGTACATAAAGAAGATCTGTAAAGTTGCAAAGACTAAAGTCTCAAATCCAAAGAGATATTCTTCATAAAAGTTAAGAGTTAACCACACCTACCTAAAACGGCTCATTCTAACACGCCCCGACATGTCTACCTCACTATGTGGGAAGATTTGCATAACGCCACCCAAATGTTCACGCAAAGAAAGAAGGCGTAACTTTTATTCTCACTGTAGTTTTGCTGCCGCCATGTCGTGAAGGCGCTGTGTGTTTCGTTGTGAAAGCAAAACTACTTTGTTTGGTCTTCCAAAAGAGCACGATATCGGAGTCCAGCCCGGGGTCGTCACATGTGGTTGCCGCAAGCCCTCCGGCCGCTCCTTCGTCGAATCTGCCGGCCGCGCCGTTCTCAAGCCCGCCCGCCTCTGCTCACTGTGTTTCGTTGTGAAAGCAAAACTACTTTTTTGGCCTTCCAAAAATGGACACGACTAGAAATCAGTGGTTAAGTTGTATTTACAACACTGTTCCAGAACACTTCAACTCAAATATTCAGATGTGTGCAGCACATTTTATGGTGGACTGTTTCCTGATTCTGGTAGAGTAGAATACACTGTTCTGACTCAAAGACTGCAAGTAAGTTTTTTTATATTTAAAGAGTATTTATATTTTATATTTTTTATGTTTAAAGTGAGTTTTTTGGGCAGTGTAGAGTAGGGCTTGTTGTTTGTCATTTCTCCGATCACAAATGCAGACATGGTTTTATGTTTACGCTGCGCGATGCAACGTAACGTGTAAAAAGACAGTATAAGTCATTATAATCCATAATTATGTCCCCACTGGATGCAACAAATGCCTCGTTTATAATGGGTTTTCATGTTTTTGAATCATCGCTCCGGCCTGACAGGGCATCATCACAGTATGGTGAGGGGCGTAACATTTCTGTCACATGCTTGAGGTATTCGGCCAGTCATAGCGCACTGGATAGCTGGCCAATCAGAGCATACCTCGCTTTTCAGAACGATGAGCTTTGTAAAAATCGACGCGTTTCAGAAAGGCGGGGCATCGAGGAGAAACAATAATGTACAGTATGTGGAAAATAATGTGTTTTTTTAACCTTAAACCGCATAAACACATTTCATTACACCAAATACACAAAATAATGTTCTTTTTAGCAGCATCATATGACCCCTTTAACCGGGTAGCCTATGCTATCTAATTTATTAATTTAAGAGAGATGACATAAGAAACACCATGGCAGGAGTCTAAATAAAAGTAGGGCTGTTGCCAGGAATAGTAATTCATGGCAGTGCTTTCCAACATGCTTACACGCATATAAACACATCATACACACATAAAAAATCCTCAGAAATTTTCACTTTGATTAGTTTGCTCAAGCATGTTGCCAAATAACATGTACCTTCAACATACTTGTTCTATGGCAAAAAAAATTTAAGATATGTTTTCAGTGAACTTTCAATTTGCTTCACTTGAGAAAGCATGGAACTATGTAGTGAAAATATGCAGTTAATACTTTTTTTTTTTTTTTTTTTGATTTAGTCGAGATTTTCAGTTATCGAGATCTGGCAGCAACAGCATATTTTTCCATAATAATGGATTCCATTATTAAATGATTAAATTCCAGAATAGAAATCATTTACAGACAGTTACATATGTATTCCCAACATTTTATTATGTAAGGGAATTTATAGTAATGAAAATATTTAGCCAGTCCCCAAATGTATTATTCTCAAATGGCTTGGCTATGCAGAGCATTCGCAGCTTAAATGGACTGCACACCCCTGGTGTACATATGGTGGTATTTTTACCAGGTGAGAACTCACAAAGAGCTTATAAAATATATAAGAGTCAAAATAGGCTCCAGCATCTCTGCGACCTTTGCAGTTTGGATGATGGATGCATGTATAATAATAATTATTATTATTATAAAAACAATAGGTTTAGCAAACACCATAATAATTTAATTTTAAATATAAGAACTACAATCCAGGGAATGTAAAATGGCACTGCATAACTGAAAGTTTCAGAAAGACCAGGAATATCGGATGAAAGGGTGACACAAGGACCGAATGGGTAAAATAAGAGCAGCAGAGTAAAAGCAATTTACTGTCTATATGTAAATTCAGAGGTCAAGCAAAAAGAGCAAACTGTGTGGAGGACTGAAACAAAAGTGTTGCTGGCTTGTGTTGCCTGGTCTCCTTTTACAGCTTCCTGCCATGTATGCTATTTTAAAGAGACACACAGCTGCACCTGACAGTTTCCTGCAGAGAGGGCAGGGCTGCACTCTGGTGAGAGGGAGAGAGAGACAGGAATGAGAAGAGAAAAGGCGAGAAGAGAGAGAGAGTGCAGATAGATAAGTGAAGAGAGGCATCACTTCTGAGACAATCTGCAGCACTGGGGGCCATAAGCATGTCTGCTTTCATCAGCAGGGTCTGCTCAACTGACACAGTGTAAGCAAAGTGACGGACTGCATTGTGTGTTTCATGGAGACAGGGAATCAGGGGATCAATAAATAGCACTGGAATACAGCCAATGCCAGGATTTCATTTCTACAAAGGGTACTGGAGGAATTCAAGTGGACTGCTGGGACACGTGGCATCTGTGTAGAACAAAGAGACTGTCATAAATATCTATAGGAGACACTTCTGAAGGTACAGCTATCCATCATCTGGCTTCACTGAGAACGAGAACCTCTTCTGGAATCCTTGAAATTTGCTTTGGCTTCACTTGGTGTTGAGTTCTCTGTTATCCGAACGGGATCTCTGTGTCGTGTGTCATTGCTTTAGTCAGGACGGTATGGTTGATCTTCAAGCCGGACGTGAGGTCTGCTGGTTCCCATGAAGAGGTTTGGTAGCTTGCGTCGGACCAAGAGGCACCATGACGAGGAGCTGCTCACCGGGAGACGGCAGTCAGAATCGGCATGTTTGTCTGGTAAGATACTAATCAGGATATGTCTCTGTATAGAGCCTTCAGCTAGACATAACAGTATTGATATCTGTCTGGTGGTGGAATGTTCCAGTCTGCCTTGTGCTATTATGAGACAGGCATTTACTGTTGTTCATCAGAAAGTCTCAGTACATCAGATATGTACAGTATATGTATGTGTTGCATAAAGTGCCATGACATAAATTGTTGTTTGAACTGGATCAATCATTCATGGTCTGTTGACTTGGCTACTGTTTTTGTATGTCAAGATCATTAAAATAGATGGCCTAGACGTTCCAGTGTAGAGGTAAAGGAAATTACAGTAGGCTGGAATGGTCTATGTTGAACTGCGTATTATGTAAGTTTTTATTAACCACTTGGCAGGGAAGGTCATTTCAGACCTACTTTGGTTCAGGGTTGACCCCGAAGCCTTCAGCTGATGCCTTCGTCACAGTGACGCAAAAAACAAATGTGACATTAGGACATGAGGAGTAAGCCTTGAAAAAGACACCAGGCTCACTTGAAACAACTAAACTCAAATTGAACTGGAGGCACGAACTGGGAATTCAAAACCCATATGTTTTTGAAAAGCATATTAAGAATATAAACAAGAATCTCTGTGACATTTGGACTCAGCTTGACTTTGGACTGACTTGAAGGTGATGTCATTTTTTCGATTTTAAAATACTTTCTACTGTCCCATCTCAATACCCAGAGACAACTAAGCAAGCTGCACGTAAGGTGAGTTCCCTTAAAAGTATAAACACTATGGCACTATTAAAATATTATCCTGCTTGTTTGGGTGTCCAAATGTGCAAGTTTGGGGTGGGACTGTCTGTTGACTGACCAATGGCAGACCGAGAGATTATTTGGGAAATTTGTTTGAAAGCCAGTATTTTTGTAAAACTGTATGGTGCTGCTAGTGCAGAAATGACACACTTCACCTTTAAAATCTGTATGTTTCCCCTAAAAGTATAAACACTATAGCATTATTAAAATATTATCCTGCTTGTTTGGGTGTCCTGACCAGCCCAACGTAGCAATATTGGCTCAGACAATGGCGTAAGTTTGGGGCAGAACTGTCTGTTGGCTGACCAATGGTAGACAGAGGGATTGTTTGGGAAATCTGTTTGAAAGCTAATATTTTTGCAAAACTGTATGGTGCTGCTATAGTAGTGTAGAAATGGCACACTCCACCTTTAAAGAACAACTACAGAACAACTTACCTTGTACCTTACATACTTTCTCTCATTGTGTTACAGCAGTCAGTTTGTTTGGATTTTCTGCCTGTCCAGAATGTCTGGATGCATGTAAACATGCGCTGAATCATATGATGGGTCATATTATGTCAGCCTGACTGGAGTATTGTATTAGAGTCGCAGTGGGGTCCTGAGTAGTGTTCCTGACGCAAATCGAACAAGCTCAGGTTGCCTCATCACACTGTCAGCTGAATCCAAAATTTGGTTCACATTTATGTTCAGGCTTAGGATAAAGGTTAGGATTAGTTCTATGACTGACAGATGATTTTTCAGAGCCAGTATGTTTCCTGACTGACTCTGACATGGATTATTTGCTGAATAAGAGCCACGGAAGCCTCCGTCTCTCAAGTTCCAGCTGTTGGAAGCATGTTACTCAATAGTCTTCTTGCTCAATCTGGTTAATATGGTAAAGGTATTATGATGTGCTGTGTGGAATATCATGCAGGAAGGCGTTGATATGAACATTCTCATTTGTAGCATGTCAGTTACTCAAATAGCTTACAAGGATAAAAATATAATGTAAACCAGCAAGCACACAATTAGATTAGATGGCATTCATTTCTTCAAATGAGTCAAAGGATTTGTAAACACATTTCAAACTAGCCTATATCATTGCATCATTAAACCTGAACTGAATGAACACAAGCATTCATCCTTCAGGTCTCTCGGTAAATGGTGCCATCAAATAGTGTAAAACCAGAATCCCTGACTTAAACATTTCACTAACATCGCCATGGAACGGAGTCAAACTGATCTGAGTCCTAGCATACACTCTGGAGGCCTGTGAGTGAGTGTTATCTGCCCTTGTGGAATGTGTAGCAGTGGCAAGGCTAAAATAAGAAGCTAACTCAACAACACACCAAAACAGGTCTAAGCCAGCTGGTTAAATCTGGCTGAATGTCATAAGATAGTTAGGATCCCAAAGTCATGTTCTCGTGCACGCATATTAACCTTTACTGATAACTACCCACATATACTTTATTTGAGAAGTGTATTTTTGGTCCAAGTTTAATAGAAAGCGATATAGGTGAGTTATTGTACTGTACCTTCATCCAACAAGCATCCTTCAGATAGCGTAGCATCAGTGATACGGTAACTGTACTTATGAGCTCCTCGCATCTACTGACATAAATCAAGGGGTGACAGAGGAATCTTGTAGCGAATTCATGAGTCCACCCAGCCAGTATCCTAGAGGGAGGGACGGGCCATGTTATGAAGGAGATAAGGTGTTGGACACATTAGCGTAATTCAGCAGGTAAAAAGGTCCATTGTCAATATATAGCGATTTATGAAGAACTGCTCACACAGAAGTCAAGCAAGTCAAGAAGTTCAAACCAAGCAGCTTTCTGTTGGTCAACCGCCAATGTGATGAATTAATCCCAAAGTATACTTAAATTATTTTTAAATAAAAAAAAATAAATGTATGCGTATGCTAGCGTATGCCTACAGTCGAACACGCAGCCTTACAAAGAATACTCCATTTGACAGTGTGCGTGAACGCAGGCGGTCGACACATGCGCTCTAGAAAGATTCATCTTAGTCCAGTGTCTGCGCTGTTTTTCTCCAGAAGTTATGACCGATAAAAATGTCCTTTTACTCTTTAATCTAAAGTTGTGTCTCTCTCATAACCCCTCACACAAGCGCTTGTCAATGCAGGCATCTGTTGTTGTTGCAGTCTCTGGTATTTGTTGTTGTTGTTTCTGCTGTGAAACAATGGCCCGGGCCACCTTGTGGAACAACTGATTAGTGCAAAACCAAGTCAATGCGCATGCATGACCTGCATGTTCAAAGTAGGAGCTATACCAAAAATTGGATGGTGCGCATACTTTTCTGGTGACGAAATTTGCCCTCGCACACATGTAAAAACCAAAGTATACTTTGGCCTTTAGTATGATGAACTCAAACCCAATACAAAAATTGCATGGATTCCTATTGAAGTGACTGAAACTGCAAATATTTGCTGATACAACTGTAAATGTGACCGCATCTTTACCTAACTCTCAATTCAGAGAGGCTGAGGGCAGAAACAGTTTTTCAGAAACCGTGAAGGTCAATGGGGTCCAAACAAGACCTTTCACATTGCACTTAACCCCTCATTCTAAACCAGTGGTTCTCGAGATAAATTTTCCTGCAAAGTTTAGTTCCAACTTTGATCAAACTCACCTGCCTTTAGCTGTCTAGTAATCCTGAAGACCTTGATTGTCTTGTTTAGGGGTGTTTGAGTAAAGTTGGACTTAAACTCTGCAGAAGAGTGGTCCTCGAGTGTCAAAGTTGCAAACCCCTGTTATAAACCTTTAACATACGAAACGAAAGTTGCGGTAGTCTTTTCTTTACTATTTTGACGTATATATATGTGTGAAATGGCTTCTTGAACATAAAAAATTTAGGGAGTGATTAGATTTTTTTTTTCCATTGGAAATTGATTGGACCAATGTTGTTTGCTATTGCTGTGATCTCATGCAATATTCCATAAAATATAAGAATTGTCCATTTTGATTTCATGCTGACTTTAACCCCAGCTAAAGGAATGTTTAAAGGGGTCATATGATGCTGCTAAAAAGAACATTATTTTGTGTATTTGGTGTAATGAAATGTGTTTATGCGGTTTAAAGTTCAAAAAACACATTATTTTCCACATACTGTACATTATTATTTCTCCTCTATGCCCCGCCTTTTTGAAACGCGTCGATTTTTACAAAGCTCATCGCTCTGAAAAGCGAGGTGTGCTCTGATTGGCCAGCTATCCAGTGTGTTGTGATTGGCCGAATACCTCAAGCGTGTGACGGAAATGTTACGCCCCTCACCATACTGTGATGCCGTGTCCCGGCCGGAGCGATGAAACAAAAAACATGAAAACCCATTACAAACGAGGCATTTGTTGCATCCAGTGGGGACATAATTACGGATTATAATGACTTATACTGTCTTTTTACGCGTTGCGTTGCATCGCGCCGCATAAACATAAAACCATGTCTGCATTTGTGATCGGAGAAATGACAAACAACAAGCGCTACTCTACACTGCTCAAAACTCACGTTTGAATCATCAGTGGCAAATCCTTTAAATGAAAACGTACTTGCAGTCTGTGAGTCAGAACAGACGGCATTGTAGTCTACTCTCCCAGGATCAGGAAACAGTCCTCCATAAAATGTGCTGCACACATCTGAATATTTGGTTTGAAGTGTTCTGGAACAGTGTTGTAAATACAACTTAACCACTGATTTGTAGTCATGTCCTCTTTTGGAAGACCAAACAAAGTAGTTTCGCTTTCACAATGAAACACACGGCGGCCTAGCGTGAGCAGAAGCTGCTGCCTAGCGTGAGCTGAGGCCGGGCTAGAGTGAGCAGAGGTGACGGGGTTGAGAACGGCGCGGCCGGTGGATTCGACGAAGGAGCGGCAACCACATGTGACGACCCCGGGCTGGACTCCGCTTCATCCACGGTGAAAGCCGATCCGGCGATCCACAGCGCAAAGTTGATGTATTTCCTCAGCGACCAGCACAGATCAGCTCTAGGCATGAAGAAGCAGATATCATCCTCTTTTGAAAAAGACCAAACAAAGTAGTTTCGCTTTCACAACGAAACACACAGCGCCTTCACGACATGGCGGCGGCAACAACAATACTACAGCAAGAATAAAAGTTACGCCTTCTTTCTTTGCGTGAACATTTGGGCGGCGTTATGCAAATCTTCCCACATAGTGACGTAGATATGTGGGGGCGTGTTAGAACGAGCCGTTTTAGGTAGGTGTGGTTAACTCTTAACTTTTATAAAGAATATCTCTTTGGATTTGAGACTTTAGTCTTTGCAACTTTACAGATCTTCTTTATGCACCAAGAGCTTGAAACACTCCAAAGAGAAAGGAAAAATTGAAATCGCATCATATGACCCCTTTAAGACTGGTAATTGAGGAGTTTTTTTACCCCTTGAAACCCTTAAGAAACCCTGGAGCAGGGTTAGCACCTGCTTTTGCAGCACTGACCCCACAGTGCGATGCCAAACTTGTACAATGTGAAACAATGCAGTGTTTAAATGTTACAGCTTTAAATGCGTAGCAACAGTCACTCATATTCACATGCATTGGACATTCACGTAAACACTGCTCATCTTAACTTTATAGTCTGAAAAGTCCAGGGAAATCTTCATAGTACTGGGCGATATATAATGCGAGGATGCGCAATGCTATAGTTAACTATTTCAAGTCTGAAATACCCTTAAGACAATTTTCTAAATATACAGTATCTTCTGTTGTGTTCCATGGAAGATTTGGAATGACACAAGGGTACATAAATGATAATGAAATGTATTATTGGGTGAACTACCCTCTATAATTCGATTTTAGTGTCAAACCTCCAACAGAAGAGAGCACAATTTCAGAAAAAATAGTCAATCTGTGCATCACGCTCAATAATTAAGCCTGGGAGAGGAGTACCTAATTACATGACTTTCTCTGACCTCTATCCACTTATTGGTCACTGCCAAGACCACGAGAGTCTGTCCCACTGACTGAACGATAATATCAAGGCAAGTTGGATGTTTTTGGTGTGTCGACAGGGCCATCAACACCCAGCTGAGGCTGTTAATGCCCACCCGCTGAGAGGTGTGACTGTGTGCACTGACTCAATCTGATTTTTGAACGACTATGTAAATGAAGTTAATGAATGATGAACAGCTAAAAATTAGCTACTGGGACACCAGCATTAATTGATGCCAGCCTGACCCCAGCCCCAATCTTCCCTTCATACACAGAGAGGAGGCTTGCCAGGGCTAATCGTGTCTACAGTAAACTAATTGATTACAACAGTGCATTTCATAATTGAAACGCAAATTCATATTGTCTTATAATCTAATGATGGATACCCATCTTCTGAATCACTTGCATACAGCCCAAACATGCACATCTACCAGTCCAACACAGAACGTTTTGACTATGAAACGTCCGTAGATGAAGCATAGTGACATGCTATAGCCAAATGCCTCAAAAGCAGAGATACATGAATAGTGCTCTGAGCTGAATATGCCCAGTTGCTTCAGCTCTCAGCTGAATTAATGTACTGATATTCAAATCATGCTTCAGATTTAAAGATTCCTCAGAGCATATGTGCTTTTGATAGTAATAGTAGTGTGATTAAGGTATGTATATGTCTATACTGCACTTCAATAATGCGACTAAAATAGGAATACTCCAAATCTCTTAATTCGATTTGTGTTTACTTCGAGTATGACTTTAGCCGGATTAAGGTAATCAGAAATCTCTGTTTACATGGTAGATTCTTAATCAGAGTATTGTCTTAATCATGTTAATATCGGAATATTGTTGTCCATGTAAACATACTCATTGGTAGATGTTGGACACAAAACCAGAAGTTCATTTAAATGGAACTGTATTCCTACTTCAAAAAGAACAACTTGGATAACTTTAAATTATGCATTAAATTGATCAAAAGATATAGTAAAGGCTTATATAATGTTACACAAAATTTCTATTTCATATTAATTATCTCTTTTTTTTACCATTACTATATTATTTTACTTACTGTTCATCAATAATAAATGTTTCTTGAGCAGCAAATGAGCATATTAGAATGATTTCTGAAGATCATATGACACTAAAGACTGGAGTAATGATGCTGAAAATTCAGCTTTGTTATCACAAGCATAAATTACATTTTAAAATATAAAACATTTTAAATTGTAATATTTCACAATATAACTCTTTTACTGTAATATTACCGTTTTTACTTTTTGATCAAATAAATGCAGTCTTGGTGAGAATAAGAGACTTATTTCATGAACATAATAATACACAATAATAATTTAAAAAAAAAATTTCAACATTATACCAACAATTGTTTACATGTCAATATTGTTTACGAAGCTGACACAGAATCAAGTTCTCGAACACTGATCTGTCAGACAGAATGGCCATTTATGCTTGGCATTTGAAGAATAAAAATACTCTTAAGTGTGAAGAATTATAACCTCTGTTATTCAGTGTTAAAGTGTGGGTCATGTGATTTTTTTGTGTGATTTTGTTGTGGGAACAGAGCAGAGGAACATGTTTCCTACTAACTGATTCAGTACACTAATACTCTTCTTATGAATCTTGATCTTGATTGATGGTCAGATATTGGTCAGTGCAGCTGTCTATTTTTTGCTGTGTCATGATTATTTGACCAGTCCTGGCAGAATTTAGCATCTGTTACTAAGACCAGTTTCACAACATGTAACCTAGAAACCAATTTGAGGTAGGAAAGCTAGCAGAAGATAAATAAGATAGATCAGATATCAGAATAGATATCATCTCTGTTCTGGCTTTTTTCTGCTATTCATTTAGAATTTCACAAAATAAGCCACTCTCCTAATTTCACATCAGAATTATGATTATTTTCCACTTTGCAAATTCAGTACTTCATTGTCTTCCGTACTGATGTGTCTCACAGGCTCTGGGCTTTCCACTCCCCCCACCACCCCGACACAGAGTCCCGTTCCACCAGTCTTCCCTGTGGAGACCCCCAGTCCTGCGGAGCGCGTGGAGGAAAGACGCTCCCGCTCTCTCTCGTCTCCCCCTGACACAGGTCAGCGCTTCAGCCTGAGCCCCTCCACCAACAAACCCCCTATCACCTCGTACACCTTTAACTCTACCTCACGCCAGGTGAGTGAACAACTTCACACGTTCTTTCTGGGATTACTATAGTTTACACTTGACCCATAGAAAAGCAAAGTCATTTTTACACCTCTAGTGGCACCTTCAATCAACTAATTGCATATTTATTAAAAAGACAAAACTGCTTGCTCATTTTCTTCACCTAACACATCGTTTGATGTTTTTCGATCAGAACAAATTGTTGGGCAAATGTTTTTTCTTGTTTTGGGAAATTCATATTTTTACATTTATATATTTTTAAGCAGTTGATATTTGCATCAGTAATATATCTGATGCAGCAACTGAGGTCAAGTACAGGCATTCTGGACAATATGATGCTTGCTTGTAATTGACCTTTTCGTAATTGTGACTTTATATTTTGCACAGGTGACTTGTCGCCTGTTAGCCATTAATACAAAATGAGCATAGGTCAACAACTGCACACAGTCTGTTTGACTTGTATATCTGTAAAGACAATCTGTGAAAAAATATGTGGAAATGTTTGAAAAATTACTTTCGTAATTTTTCGGGACAATTCGTTATGGAAGCCCATTGCAAAGTATTTATTATTATGGAAAGTTTACATTTTACAGTTGCAACTGCAGGATATAGAGCCCTAATAACTATTTTAGACTATGACATTATTACTACAAAGTTGAATTTGCAAATATAAGAAAGTTTCTTGTTATTGGGTGTTTCTTCAACTTCAGACACTTACGTACCACAGGCTGATATTTATTAAAACAAACGGGTGTAAATGAAGATCACATTAAAACTATATTGGATTTTAGTTTTTTTACTTTTGATACTTTTCAGGTGACTTTTATAGATTCTTTTACACCTGTCGCAGACTCAAATGTAAACGTAAAAAACTATTTATAAAACTATGAATTAATCCACATTCTCAAATCTATGATAACCTACAGTTAACAAGCTGTGAATAAACAAACTATTTCCATTATTTATTTTAAATAATTTATACACAATGATTTAATTTTTAAACCAAATACTATGTCCCCCATTTGTGGTGTCATTTGCAAAATGACCAATAATTTTCCCCAATAAAGCTTTATCAAAAGTGAGTGCACTTGTTTACCAACAGCACTACAGTGAAGAACTTGAGATGAAATATGAAACATGTGATGTGCGATAAAGATAAGTAAGTGTAGCCTAAATACCAATCGAACAGTATATATTCATTTCCAATCAGATTTAGTCAAAATATGCAAAAAGTGTGAGAACACGATTTAACTGATATAAAGTGCTAGCTATGTATGGAATTACTCTTAGCAAGACAAACAACAAGCTAACGTTATTTTATTCCAAAAATGTTTACAATTTCCACCACAGAATATTGGACATTACTAATAGACAAATAAATACACTCGTTGTAAGAGTGTAGAAGTGTGTCGTAAGAGATTTTTCACAGGACCAGAAGTAACGTAGTGCCCGTTCTTGATGAAACACCCTACTTTGAGTAAGTTGCGCTGTTTATTTATTAGTTTTTGTGGCGGGAACAGCCAGGATTACATAGGAATTTTGGAAGATTCGCCGGTTTGATTAAATACCTTAAAATGGAAAGTACCTTATTTCCTGCGACTTAAACTGTGATCATTGGCTCACGCGCTCATGATGTTTAAAATGCTGGTTTTGAGACTAAGTCGCAGCCGGTGATTTTTATAGCTATGATCAGTGCATTCGCATTTCTTTCGTTTCTTCGTCATCCAGCAGAGAGCGACTGAGCTGTAACTAGGGCCAAGTAATC